TACACTAAACAAAGACCACCAATCTTAGATTGGCAGCTTTTAATTAGTGATAGTGGAGTGTATCAAAAGATACTCTGTTGTTTAACAGGTGGACAGGTGCAAAAATGGGTTGTTGTTATGTGTAAAGATGTTGTAATAATTGTATGTAAGGGTTGTTATAATTGTAAAACCAAAATTTTGGGGAACAAATAATATTATGGAGTGAGCAGTGATTTGCCTGTTATGTGGGGAAATGTCTGCAGGAAGTCTGCTGGGGAGAAATTACAACTGGGAGAAAGGGCCTCCTTATATAGACAACAATGAGGTATTTTGGCTCCAGGGGAGCCAGGAATGAGGGATTTTGGCTGGTTGTACAGCCTTACATGAGGGAATTTGGCCAAGATGGAAGAATACATGAGGGGTTTTGGCTGGTGGTACAGCCTACATGATGTGATTTGAGAAGTTGAGTGGTTTCCGTCGGATTGACAAGCTGTGCAACAGTTGCTATGCAACCTAGCAACCTGCAGGCTGTGTTCTGTAAGCCGCATGATGTCATCCTGTATTTGAGGCTGTACGCATCGCATGACAGGTTGCCAAGTTAACCTGTATGCTGTGCCTGCATACTTCCATTGTACTTGATTGAGACGTACAGATGCCAGATCACATGGCCCGGAGGGGTGAAATGTGTACCTGATATCCTTGTAACATGTAAGGGTGCTTGACCCCCCTACCTGTGAGTAAAAGAGGGGTGTAACATGCAACACAGAGGGGTTACATGTGTCCAAGCCTGCTCCTCTAGGGTGATTTATGGCCCTGGCAATCCCTTCCTGGAGCCATATTTGGTGTAATATTATGGTATATACCAGGAAAGTATAAAGTTTTGGAGGTTGTTGGATGGGGAGTCTCATAAAGGTATCTCACAACGCTGGGCTGCTACTAAGGTTGAATGCCCCCACATTTGGGAAAAGTTGCGCGCCAAAGGGGCGCGCCCAAGCCTGGTTACCAAAGTGCGCGCGTTTGCCGGGCCGCAAAGAGGGGCGCGCTGAGGCCCCGTCCATTTTCGGCATTCAGAAAACTGTTTTGCACATTTTTGGGGTTTTTTTTCTCTTTTTTTTCAAACTTAGATTTTACTCCCCCCCAGAACTATTCTTTTCCCGCCCCCGGCGTGGACGGACCCTGCAAATTTCATTTCGGGTCAGAGGAGTCAGGGGTTCTTGGGAGACAAAAAAAATTCTATTTCCAGAATTTTCCCCCCCCCCCCCCCCCCCCCCCCCCCCGAAAAAACTGCAATCCTCTACGGGCTGCACATAGAGAACCCCCCGAAAAAGCTAGGGTTAGCAGTGCGCGCACACCCCCCTTTTTCATCTTTTTGTGCGCGTCGAGGGCGCGCGTGCGAGGCGCCCGCACATCGGCGCGCCCTTGGGGTGGCACCATCAACCCTAGCTGCTACACTTTTTGCCCAAAAAGTGTTAGCATAGCAGCCCTTTTTTGCACCCAAATCCTATAGTATTAGCACATTTTTAGCAAATTTTTTCTATGGGCCGCTAGCAGCGCTACAGGGCCAAATTCCGGCTAACCAGCATGTTAGCACAGCATAGTGGGCCCTTTTGGGGGGCCTACGCGCGTAGTGTTAGCGCAGATGTGGCAGAATTCTGTTCCACTATGCTAGAGTTTGGCGGAATTCTGCTACATTACACTGCACTGACCACTGTGGTTAGCTTAGCGGCCCACTGTTGAGATTATATTGAAGTAGCCTTGAGTAAACCCTTGTCTTTGTAAGAGCAACTCCAGCACAGATGGTAAACCAGGGTGGTAAGTAACATTGCAGGTCCAAAAAATCCATTGGGGTTGTAGATCACTCTTGTACCACCCCAGGTACCTCTTGTGAATGTGTGAAACCACCCATCCTGCTTGCAAAACCTCAATATCCACAACCCTTTTGCAAGCCAATATCCCTTGCTCATCTGATTCTTCAGTGCAGGTTTACCACTTTGCAGTGGTGCACCTGCCTGATCTCAGGTGTCAATTCTGGAAAGTGGGTGGCAAATCCAACATTTACCACCCCACATTAACCACCCTCAGATGAATGTCTTACATCCTGAATATATGGGAATTTAATTTCATATGAACCCCATTTGAATATTACTCATGCCTCAGATTTGAGAGAGATGATCACACAACTTCAAGTATGTTGAAATTAAACCTAATTAAACATCATAAGTTAGTAGGCAAAATCAGATGGAGATCTATGGTAGATATGGTCATTTTAATTCATTTTGGAAAATAAATCCAATGATAAGTTGCTAAAGAAATAAATTGGTAGTTGATCATTGTATTCAGAGTCAGTCATATATAGTAGCATCCAGCTTAAGTTCAGGTATTGCCATCTTGGTGCTTGAATATGATAGATGTTGTGATACCCTGATTACTGATAGATTGGTTCAATTTATGTGCCCATTACCTTCACACACCTTTAGCTGCAGCTAGATGTGTTTGATCAATGATCCACAGACCAGGTGGAAGAAATGAATTAAGCTTGTGTGGAGGATAATTTGCACCGGATTTTGATAATTAGAATTTCATGTTTATGATCTCATGGGAGACAGTTGTTTTGCACACAGAATCCAATGATCAGATAGTTTCCCCCTGGTCTAAGACAAGATATGCTTGGTTGGCTGGGCTGGCCAATCCAACTCTGATTGGGGGATCATAAGGAATGCTGCATAAGAATGTTGATGAGAATCAGTAGTTGACTCTGATGGCAAATCATCGGCACATAGTCCATAGCCATATGGATTTCCAAACTGTGCTGTGATAGTAGATGCTTTCACTCGAACAAGAAAAGTGGTGGTGGCTGAGTCTATGAGAGAGGATGGACCACTTCAGCACCCCTGTCGACTGACATCTGGCTATTCAATAGCCCTCGTACACTGAGTACGAAGGCTATACAAGGTCATCTGAGATGACCCTCGCCGTCCCTCGCCCCGCCGGCTGAGGTTTACATAATCAGCTCGTCCGAACTCGCAAGCAAAGCTCCTTCGGCTTCCATCGCTGCGCAACCGCAGGGCATCACAGCATTGCACAGCTGCTGTCATCGGCATCATCAGTCCCAAATCCCACCCGTGCACCCTTGTACCTCAAAAGATGTTGGACAACCGATCCAGCTCTAGGTTCTCATTCCGATTGGACACTCGGATACCGGAGAAGGAGGCGTTGAACATGAAGTTCTTTTAGATGGCGGTGATGGTGAAGATGACAAAGAGCTTCGGGTGCAGGCTGTTTTCTAATGATCAGGTAAGCGTAAACTTGTGTCAATCGTTGGCTAGTTTTTTGATTCTTCCCACTTGCTGATGACCTCACTTCTGACTCTGATTGGATCTGCTTTGTATAGGGAACCTCACCCGTTTCGCCAATTGTGTCACTGTCCTAGAGCTCGCTCCCTTGTCAATTCAGTAAAGAAAATTATACAAGGCTACATCCTTGGATTGAATACTTGTTCATTGTTACCCTTGAGAGCTGCCACTGAGCTGATTTTTCTTACTTGTCAAGCTTCTTCCTCAATCCAAATCTAAGTACAAGCCTGAGGTTTTTGGGTGTATCAGGTCTATCTCCTTATAATTGTGTGGCTGATTTGGAATCCTCTTGGATGTACCACCTTTAGGAATTATTCACAACCCTGTGTATGGATCAATTAGCAAGCCAGTGATTCAAATGTTCCCATTGAGCATGGAATTGCACTTATTCCACTTTTTTCCAATGACTTGAGTGTCAAATTAATAGTAAGATAAATACTGATAACTGATAGAGATTGAGTTCAGAGTTCCTATGTAATCATGTTACAAAGCCAAATTTTTGAATTCTGGCAAACATCTAGTTATCTGTTCAAAAAAAAACAGCTTATGCTGCACTGTCCAAATGGGGCCTTGGTTTTGATACAGGCAAGATGATTATTTAATGTGGGGTAACCCAGGTCTTTTTACATGATTTACAATACTTACACAAACCCAGAGTTTTTGTTCTATATATTTTATAATAATCCAACTGCTTGATGTATAACAAATCTTTCACTTAGTAAGTAATAGACATGATTGGTCAATTTGAAGCAATTTGAAACACATTACATAACTAGATGATTTCAAAAATGAACAATGTGTTCTTCATTAGCATCAAATTTCTTTTTAACAATGTTCTTCAAATTCCTTTGTAGGAATGTTCACTTTCAATCTTGATCAAGATTGAATGTTGCTGGTCAAGATTAAGTGTTGATTGAATGTGACCAAATTTAAAATTTCTTTTTATCAGTATTCTACTTGCAATCTTGATCACAATCTAATTTTTTGAACTTTCAATTTTTTTTATAAATATCCAACTTCACCCATGGACTAAGACATCAAATTATAACAACTCAAAGCAAGTTGACTTGCAAAAGAAATCAAATCTCATGATGTCCAAACTGATCACCCAAAGAAATCAGAAACTTGTTCTCTCTTTGTTGGTCTTTTGGTTAGCATTCAACTTGCATCTTCATTAGTGTGAATTTCTTTCACCTGTTTCCAACTTGAATCTTCACTAACATTAAATCTCCTTTAGCAGTTTTCAACTTTCAATGATGATTAAGATAAAATGTTTGCACTTTTGTCCCCTTGTGCTCATTCAGTGAACTTATCACATTATTGAAATGCTTTTCATATGCTTGTATCTGGTCAACCTTCCTTAGCCTGACATAAAAAGTTGTACCTACCAAATTCTATTATTCCCCATAATTTCAGAAGGGACAAAAAATAAACCTCATTTTATTTAAAAACTCCTCTTGGACTTGAAATATATCAATATTTTATTGTTTAAATTCAAATCCTCCTCTCAAATCAACATATTGCTGTCTGGAATCAGTATTATTCTTAACTTCTCAAAAATATATCAATGGCTGGGTGAGGACACCTTGGACTAGAGGAAATACCTTCTATGGGTTGGAACCACTGGTCCATACCAGTAAACTTCCACTGAGCTGATTCTAGCCTCTGCAGAGTAGCTCACATCTGAAAGAAGTGGATATCCACATCATCAACCTGAATCTCCTTTTGAATCTCATTTAATCATTGCTTTTATTTCCATCACAAAGAACAACCAGAAGCTTCCAAGAGAAGAAGACATTAACAGCAAAGTTCAGAGATACTTTTGAGTTTTAACCTGAGTCTGTTGAATTCACTGATCAACTCACTTTCCTCAATTTAATTCGTCAGCCCAGTAATTCCATCAGGTATCAACACCAGGAAGAGAATCACATCTCAGGGGGAGAAAGTAGATGTACATACATATTGGGCTCTTAGAATGGCCCTTGGTCTTTTTTCTATTTCTGGCTCTTGCTAATATTTCTCTAGCTCAAGTTACACCATTATTCATTGTTTACTATGTGCAATAGATTCTGTCTGGTCCAGTCTTTCACTTCAGCAGGTAAAATCTCATCATTATTTCTATTCCTTTTACTGTCTTTTGTTGAGTTTTTTTGCTTTGTAATTATTGTTACTACTACTGATGTTTAAAGATTTATTGCAATGATCTTGATCTCATTCGACCTTACTAAGTTGAAAATTAGATGATACTTCAACTATCTGGGTAAGTGGTTACCTATCTGGGGTGTTTGTCAAGGATCAATTTTTTTCTTCATTGTCATGGAGTGTGCCAGACAATCACACTCTCTCCATGAGATTGACCTTTCTGAACAGCCATTGTTGCAAGTACACTCTCCAGAATGGCCATTCAGAACAGCGGTTGAAGAATATTGTACCCTTGGCCCCAGCGCTGCCATTCGGAACAGCCATTGAGGAGCGGAGGAGCGTAGCGTTGGCCTCACTGATGTTGTTCAGAGCGGTCGTTGAGGAGTGTCCCCTCGGCCTCAGCGATGCGGATCAGAACGGTCATCGAAGAGACTGCTCTCTCAACGATGGCCGTTTAGAACGGCCATCAAGCACAAGAGGGCTTGGGGCAGGTATGTACCCTGTATGCCGGAGCGGTACCCGGTTACCGGCAAATCTCTGCAATGCTGGGATGCCCAGCGGTTGCGCAGCGATGGAAGCCGAAGGAGCTTTGCTTGCGAGTTCGGACGAGCTGATTATGTAAACCTCAGCCGGCGGGGCGAGGGACGGCGAGGGTCATCTCAGATGACCTTGTATAGCCTTCGTACTCAGTGTACGAGGGCTATTGAATAGCCAGATGTCAGTCGACAGGGGTGCACTTCAGGGTCACTCGAATCTCAGGCTGGGCTCTCAGTCTCAGGGTGATGATGTAATCAGAATATTCCATCTTCAGGGTTCAGCCTGAAAAAGAAAGCTCGACTTCTTCTGACACTGAAACCAAGATAACTACAAACTATTCTTACGACCAACCACAAAAAACAGACACAACGATGAAGGAGGACATCAACAAACAGTTCAAGTTCAACCAACTACCAACAACGACTAACAGCAACAACAACAACAACAACAGACATACTCACCCCAGGAATAACAACAATCTCATCAACAAGACCCACAAACTCATCAGGCAGAACCATAAGACCATACCAACAACAACAGCTACTCAAACAAACAACACCACATTCAAGAACTTGGAAGAAAGACTACCAGATCAAGTACTAGAACTCATCCTCACCCAACTACCCGATCGATTCGGATTTAGCAGTCTCATCAGATCAAGAACAACCACCTACGGATTCATCAATAATCATTATAATCTCAACCACCATCCAGTAGATCAACAGAATGAATCAGAAGGAACTCATTGGGTTACCCCACCTACCTCATTCAGACTAATCAACAAAAGATGGGCTAGAGTCGGAGCAGAGGTAAGCGACCAGAAAAAAAAAACAAGAGTGATAATATTTATACTCACACAGTCTTCTCCAGGTCTTCTTTAAACACCTCTCAATCTACTCCATCAACCGATTGGAGGCCCTCGTCAAGCTCTTCAACTCATCCAACCACTGTCTACCAAGCCTAGTCAGAACGATCGTCATCTCGATCAAAAAACAGGATAATCTCCGATCGACTCCTATCACTGATCACCACCAACGGATCAGGGAACTACTCAGCAAGCTACTCAAGCCTCTCACCGGACTCAGATCACTGGCCATCAGGGGCTGCTCCCCCGGGATCCTCTTCCCGGCCCCACTCGAGATCAAGGAACTCTTCCTGCCCCAGTCGATCATCCGATTAGCCATCGAGTTTCGCTCTCAGGAAGACTCAGCCTTGCTCAGCTCACTACCTACTACCATCAATCGAGGAGCTACTCAGCTGCCATCATCATCCCCGCCATCCTCAGCCACTCCAATCAACAGGGGAACTCAAACATCCGAACTGATCGAACTCCATGCCGCCGAACTCAATCTCCTCCTCGTCTGTCTACCCAACCTCCGCTCACTCCACCTCTCCAACTTCCGCTCCCAGCCTCAACGGCCCCTCTCCCGATACCTCCCCGGCTCTCATCACCACTCTCATCTTCAAAACGGGGCACCTAAAAACCCTCAGGCCTGGCTCTCGATCCGCTCTTTGATCCTCACCGACTGCGAACTGTCGGACTGCGATGCCCAGTTCTTTGCCAACAGATTCGCCGGACTCGAGACCCTCTCGATCTCCAACTCCTTCATCGATCACCACCACATCTCCGCCATCAATCATCTCATCTCACCTTCCAGTAGGAAACCCCGCGATATGCCTCTGGGCCAGGAGGAGCCGCTCCGTCTGGCCGATAACCTCGACCGGCTGAATGTCTGCTGGACCGATTTCAAGTACGACCCCTCCCTACTACTGTTCCCCGGCAACACGGAGAGCAAGCCCGGTCTGGGCTCGAGCCTATCGACCCGATACGCCGAGCTGGATCTTTCGGGGCTCACTCGACTCCGGGTCTTAGGACTCAAGACACCTACCAGAGTCATCCTCACTCACGACGATCACTCTACCCCAGAAGCAGGCCCGCTCACCAGCCTCCAATCTCTGGCTCTCAACCCTCAATTACTCTTCTTCTCTTCTCCGACCCATCTCCACTCTTGTCTGGCTAAAGCCCCGATCCTTCGTCAAGTCATCCTGCTCGACCATCCGCTCCCATCCACTCTTCTTCATCATCCAAAAGCTCTAGACCATCTAGGCTCGACTTCTTCTTATTCAAAATCGAGCCCTTCTATTAACCACCTCCCAGATCACAATCTACCCGCCCTTCCACCTCCTTCTTTCAATCCGCTCAACTTCAACCATCTCGAACTGGCTTCCCCGCTTTGGTATCGGAAACTCAGCTTCCAATTCTTCGCGTGGAATTGCGGCTTCGATTGGGTTGACGCCTCTTCCTCTTCTTCTTCCGCTCCCTCCTCCTCCTCTTCTTCTTCTTCCTTCTAATCATCAACTTCTTCTTTCATTTTTATCTTCGACTGACCATTCATTGTTCAACTTGATTTTTTAAAAAAACACTTTCAAAAAAAAAAAAAAACTCTTTCAACTTGTTTGAAGAAAGAGTCAGTTCTCATACAGAACAACTGTTCTTTTACTTTCTTTTTTCATTTTTTTTTCTGTGGACTCTTACGTTTCTTCATCTTGTTGTTGTTGTTGTTGCTGTTCAGATTTCAGTTAACCATTTTCAAGTTCGATTGATGTTGTATGATCCATGTGTTTGCTCTATTGTAGTTGTTCATCGATTCATTATGTAGTTAATTTCAATCATCCATGAAAACTCATGAAAATAAAAACAAGAAATACATACAAAATATCAAGTGATGTTTCAAGTTTCATACTCTGGTTTACTTGCGGGAGGTCGGTGGGATAGATAGGCAGTCCAGCGAGACCGATATGTGGGTCCATGGACTGCCGACTCCCAAGAGGCGTCCACCCAGCCTTGAAAGTCGCTGGATTTTTGAGATCGCGAACGTTGGCTGTATTTTTGGGGTCGTATGTACCCGTCCCCCCCACGCCCGCAGTCTTATTATACATAAACACCATCCATGGGACTGGGTATACATACAAATTCATATGTAGGCGGGGTGCAAGCTGGTGCAAGGAGTCTGGCTTTCTTGCTTAATTCTCAAGCAGATCTGGCATGTTTCGTATGTGTAACGGTTGGCTTGAAGATGTTGGAAAACTCAGATTCCAGATTTCGGTCGAAAACTCAATCTCGGTTATGTTTTTTTTTTTTTTCACCAGCAGATTAGGGTTTCTGTAGATCTACAGCTTTGGACTCCTCGCACCACTCTTGCCAGTGTAGATGCACCAGGTCGTTTTTGTAGGTGACCATCTTCAGCGAAGAGCATTTTACAAAAAAGACGATTCACCGAAAAATCAAACAGATCGATCGATGCCATGCCATGAATCATGATCACACCCGGCAGACGCCCGGCAAGCTCGACCGTTTTTTTGTTTTTTGTTTTTCAAATCGATCGATTTTGAAACAGCTTGTCGAAGGATAAGCCACCCACACCCACCGAGTACTTGGACAAGG